GGTTTCTGACACAGCTGGGACATTCCTCCCATTGCACTGTCCATGTGTGTCCCACACAGGGCTCCATCTGCCACCAACCGTGAGACACGAGCAAAGAAACCCCTGCAGTTACTCATAAACTTGCTGAAGTGGTCGATGAAGCCTCTCTCACACACACAGGAGCCACGAAGTGAAGCAGCAGCACTGACTCAGTGCTAGGGTGGTGCTTCATGGCTGGGACTGGTCCAGGAGTGACAAAGCAGTGTGTGTGGCAGTGCCAGCACTGAGCACGGTCACTGGTGGTGTTTCTGTCCTTTATTCCTATTGCCTGGGAGCAGGAAAAGATCAATGCCTGGGATGCCTCCATCTGGGAAGTGGTCACAGTCACCTGCTCTTCATCACTCATGCCATAAAAACCACATTTTTTTATATATTTCCTCACAGTCTTTTTCATATACAAGACATGTGAATAAATCACTTGAATGAGCAACTTCTTTACAGCTGTGGACAGGTTTGATGCTCCCGTGAGTTGATCCAGACACAAATTAACAAGAAGTGCAGGAGTAACTTCCACGACAAAATTTATACTGGAAATAATTTCTGTGAAGAACCGGTCTGAGTTCTGCTCGTTTCGATTCTAAAATTAAAATTGTATTTGTAATCATTAAGTAGTCGTTAACTGATGAACAAATCATTAACTGAAATGATGAAACAAATCATTAACTGAAATGATGGACATATGATGCAAAAATGCTATAAAGCTCCTGACAGCTTACATTTCTACAGTTAAACAAAAAAAAAAATTAAACTACTATTTTCACAGCTTTGCCGTTCAAAGACTTTTTCCCTCCGTCCAATTCCAGCTATTAAGGGACAGCTCCCTCCTCTGGAGCGTTTTATCCTTGCACTGAGAACATCGGCTGTGGTTACTGAATTCAGGAACCTCTTTTAAAATCCCTTTGACCCACTGCACAAAGCCCAAAATACCTTGGGTTGACTGAATATAGAAATAAATTCACCTGTGTATGGGTTGACACCACCGTAGAAATCCTTTCTGTGCTGTTGTAGGTCGGTTTGAACATCTGTAAAACAAAGCCATTTAACCTCAGGGCATTTGCAACTTTAATTTAAATTAAACACATTTCCCCAGCCCAAAACAAAACAGGTGTTTTGGGAATCGGAATATTCTCCGTGGAAGGAACTGCGTTTTCTTTACAAACAGGTGTTTCTGGGGGTGAATCACAGAGGAAAAGATGAATTAAAAATAGGTGGGGGTGTGATTTCTGTGAGAGGCTTCTGAGCAGGGAGAGTTTCTGATTTATTGATTCCACCACTGCTCGGGGAAAACAGAAGTAATTTGTCTCTGTAAATAGAAGTGGAACAAAGAAACTTGTCTTCATTACCACTTTTTTCCCCTTATGGAAACACAGTGTTTTTCTAATTTCTTGTCTGAAAAGAAAAACACAATTACTATGTAGATTAATTACAGCTAAATTAACCCAACCTTTCAAACTCGATTGCCACGTAAAGCTGCATATTCTACTGCCAAAACGTACACAATCTTCTATCTGTAAGAATTAATACTTCTTAATCTAGTTAGTGGTTAGCAAAGCAAGTTAAGGAAATAATTAGTCCAGAAAGGGATGGAATTCAAGAAGCCTGGTTGGAATTTGATTGAGATTGGCCAACAGGATCAACAAGTGTTTGAAGGGGGCTGACAGACAGACTGACAGATCCCAACCTGCTTTGAGCACCTCGTTTTCCTCAAGAAACAGGAGCTCTGTGGGGCAGAACAAAATTTCAGTGCTTTGTGATCTACTAAAGTAGTGTTTAAAGTGACTGTATGGCATAAAATTCAGATTAGATTAGCAAGATATAAATATAAATAAATATAAATGCCAAAGAGCTGGAATTTGCTTAATTTTAAGATGTGATCTCCCACTAACACAGCTGCGATGGGACCGGTTGTGCTGAGGGTTTATTCCATGAGCAGCTTTGCCAACAGAATATTTAGAGGTTTTTTTTTTTGCAGAGCAAATGCTGCTCCCTCAGGAATAAACCCCTCCAAGCACAGAAAAGGGCAATTATCCATCTGACAGATTTGCTCTGCCATACATTACGTGTAACAAAGCAGGAAATGGGACTGAAATAGAAAATAAGGTGCGAATTTTCTGCAGCTTTTCTAATGGAATTGCATTAATCCACACAGAAACAATCAGTAATATTTCCATGTCACCTAAACTCGAAACCAGACGCGTTTTCTAGAACAGAAGCAACCTGTGCTGGGGCTTTTATTTGTTTGGTTGGGTTTTTTTTTCCCCCTGACTTATTATTTTATCAGCATGTGGCTGGTTATTCATTTCCTGAGGAAAAACCAATAATCAATGTCTGCCAGCACTTGCTTTTTATTTAATTAGAAACACAGGACTGCAAAGAACCTCCTAGATCACCAAGCCCAGTCTCTAATTAAACACTCTTCAGAAATATCGATTCATCCAAGCTGCATAAATATGGTCAGTTTTGTAACACTCTATCTCTGCAGAGACTCTGAGTGATCTTCTGCTTTTTTTATTTGTAAGAATTTTTTCAGTATAAAGAGTGATTATTATTTTCAATGCAAGGAGCTCATCCTACAGACCTCTGATTTTCAGTGATTTTATGTGACACGATTACAGTGCTTTGCACTGGAAATTAGCAGCGTTTGATCTATGATGATTATTATTATCATTATTATTAAATCTTTGTGTTAATTTTCATACTTCAAGTGCCTCAGTCGGTTGAAGAAATTGGCCATATCTAAAAAGCTAAGATAAATGGATTCAATCCTAAAAATCCTAAAAAATCCATTAGTGTGTTCTCCCTATATTTAATGTATTCTTGACTGTAAAAGATGCTGCTGCAACTGGAAATACACATTTCAAACATCAACTGTTAAAATAATTTTAACCAGAAAGTAACTTCAATTGATTTTGTCGTACTAGAAGGAATACATTAAATTACCTGCAACGTTATATATCAAATTTGAATTTATAGAGGAGGAAAAACCCAATTCCTTTAATGTATTACTATTTTTCATTAATTTCTATAATTTTGTTAGAATGAAGAGGCTGTAATTTAAGCCAGATACCCTTCTATGGACTGAGCTGTAAAATATGAGGACGATTTTCCAGCTCCAACTGCCTTGGAGTCGGGAGCCTGGAGCCTCTGCTGTTGTTCCTGCAGCCCAGATCCTTACATGGCACTTTCTGTGCCCAGCTGCCAAGGCCCTGAGGGCTCAGCAGATTTATTCCAGATATTTATTCCAGCCTGGACAACTGCAAACTGCTCAGTTTGAAATTCCCAGCAGGCTCTGGCTGGCATCTGGATGGAGGGGAGCTTGGGATCACTCCCTGTCCTGGAGGTGTCCAGGGAAGGGGCTGGAGCAGCAGGAGGGGCTGAGGGAGCTGGGGGGGCTCAGCCTGGAGAAAAGGAGGCTCAGGGGGGACCTTCTGGCTCTGTGACCCCCTGACAGGAGGGGGGAGCCGGGCTCTGCTCCCAGGGAACAGGGACAGGAGGAGAGGGAACGGCCTCAAACTGTGCCAGGGGAGGGTCAGGTTGGACATCAGGAGGAATTTCCTCATGGAAAGGGTGGTCAGGCCTTGGCAGGGGCTGCCCAGGGAGGTTTGGAGTGCCCAGCCCTGGAGGTGTCCAGGGAAGGCCTGGCCAGTGGCACTCAGTGCTCTGGGCTGGGCACAGGGGGATCCATGGGCTGGGAGGGCTTTTCCAACCTCAATAATCCTCTGATCCTGTGAAGTGAGAAAGGGCTCAACAGGCACTATTTTAAATCCCGTTCCTAGGGCTGATTCACTGGGGGCTTTCCAACATTAGATACTTCTAATTTAACCCTCATCCCCATCAAGGTTGGACAGGGCTTAGAGCAACCTGGGCTAGTGGAAGGTGTCCCTGCCCGTGGAATTAGGGCTGGAATGAGCTGGTCTTTAAGGTCCCTCTCCCCTCAACCCATCTGGGATTCTGATGTTAAAACTCATGCTAGAAATGAGCAGGTGCCTTGGGCAGTCATATAACCCACCTAAGTAGCAAGGGTAATTTATAAAGAACCTCAAACATGTTGTAAATAAGCAGGAGTTGAAAAGCGGTGTATTTTTCCAGAACAGAGTCCTTTGCATTTACAGGAAATTCGGATCTTTTGGAGATGTTGTTTTAACTGCCAGTTTTGTGAGGCTGCCCCGGAGTCAGCCACACACTCACCTGTGCACTGAGCCAGGAGACTCCTGGAATTCTGTTCACCTCCCATGGGATTCTGTGAACTGTTCCTGGTTCAAGCAAAAGTTTCCTAGGAATTTGTCTTGGGTTGGCCGGGTCAGGGTTTGGCACAGTCACGTAACATAGTAGTGTGTGTTCTCCAAACCACACCGTGTCTTCTAATGCTTCATTTCAGCTCCCTGATTGAGCTTGTTCATGGAAATTATGTAGTGAAGTGTCTGCTTTCTTCTCTAAATTGACAGTTGTGCACTGAGCTGTGAGACTTCTGGAATTGCTGGCTATGAGACTTGTGGAATTTACCGGTATGTTGTGGACTCCCCATCCCTATGGGAAGCGTCCAGCGCCAGGCTGGACAAGGCTTGGAGCAACCCGGTCTAGCGCAAGGCGTCCCTGCCCATGGCAGGGGTTGGAACGAGGCCATCCTCACTGTCCCTTCCCGCCAGTCCGTTCAGTGACTCCACAGCACATCCCACAGGGAGCGGGGCCGGATCAGGAGCTCCCAACCCTGGAGTCCCCTCAGCTACCCCCGGAGCCCCCTCAGCCCCCTCAGCCGCCCGGCCCCGCCCTCCGCGCTTTGGCGCCAAACCCCCTCAGCCGCCGCTCCCGGAGCTCGCGAGGCGCGCGGCTCTCGCGGGACTTGGGGGCCCCTCACGGCCCGGCCCGGGCCCCTCACGGCGGGAGCGGTGAGGAGCCTTCACCCCGCCGTGATCTGCCCGGGAAAAAAAGGGCTTTTCCTTCGAAATACAAACTGCCCGGGAAAGAAAGGGCTTCTCCTAAGAAATACAAGCCGCCCGGAGCCGGGGAGCGCAGCCCTGCCGCCACCCGCCTCACCCCAGTCCCTGGAATTCGCTTCGCTAAAGAGCCGGGAAAGGGACTCCTCCTCCAGACCGCCTTTCCGAGTAAGCTGAGAATTTGGGGAATTACCCCCCCTTAACCTCCGATATCGGGGACGTGAGTGCACAGCTGCCCCGATAAGCGCTGTGGTTATAAATCTATTTATTTTGGTTTATTCCTGCCACTGCCAAGTAACTTCGGCGAGTTGAAACACGACAAACCCTTTGTTTTATTCGGCTGGGTTGTGTCATCCCTCTGCGTGGTATTCGCTGCTTAATTTGTGGGACGGTCCGGTTTCTGCTTGGCAAATCTTCGAAAAATCTGTAGGTTTACTGTGTATAACTGATGTTTCTCTGCCTCTGTGGCAGCCTCGCTGCTTCTCTTTAACGCTTTTGGTGTTGTTTGGTTGTTTGTTTTTGGTTTTTTGGGTCTTTTTTTTTCAGGAGGGGAATAAAAGCTGCTTTGTGGCAATGTTAGATCCTTTGGAGAACAATCTCTTTGATCTCCCTGATTACGAGAACACCGAGGACGAAACATTCCCACCTCTCCCACCTCCTGCCTCCCCTGGAAGGGACGATGCTGAGTGGGCTCAGGCTCATGCAGGTGAACACCCTCCCCCGACCCCTAAAAATCCCATTTTAACGCTGTGTAATCAAAATTATCCGTCTTGTGCTTCACTGACTTGGAGTTCACTGCATGAAAATAGCCAGAAAACAAATGGCAGATTTAAATTGTTAACCAGTCTGTGCTTTCCATCTTGTGGGGAGAGTTTGTCTTGGTGGATTCCGTGAAAAATAGGCACACAAAGGGATCTTTATAGAATTCAAGCTCTTCTGATGAAGTGATGCTTTAGAGATAATTATCCAGCAGTGATCTATAGCTACACTTGATGACTTGGATTTTAGAAGAGATGAGAGTGTTGAGTGTAATTTTCCAGGGAGTTATTAGTAGATTTTGTAGAGCATATGACCCAGGAACAATCTCACTCTGTCAGTTCACTGGAAAATAGGATTTGGGATAGACTTAATTCCTTGAGGCGTGAAAAGGAGAACTTCTGAATTCCTGAGGGTCAAAGGAACAAAAAATAAACCAAGAAATCAGTATAATAATTGCTATTATGAGATGAGATGGGCAGTGGTGCCTTGTCTGTTTAGTCAAATAATAAATGAGCCCCAATCAACAAGTGTTTGGGCTTTGCTTCTTAAAAGACACGTTGTTTATTGTCACACCACCTCTGCCTGCTTTTTGAGGGCACTGCAGGCGCCCTCATGAAAGTTCTAAAATGAGAAAATTGCACTTTCAAGGAACCTACTGTGTTAGAAAAGTTGATTCTTCGTATTTTGCAGAGAAGGATTTGCTTAAAATCTGTCTTGTGGGAGGAGCAGCATGAAACATGCAGTTATTTTTTTAAATACTGTATCTACCATGGAATGCTTGTGATGCTGCTTCTCTGGTAGGGCAGAAACTTAAAAATGTGTACGTGATGCAGTTGTAGCTGATGTCAGTTGAGTTGTATGCTCAGTTATATACTCAGAGAGTGTTTCCTTCCCTGGGTGCAGATGAGAAGCAGCAGACACAAAGCAAGGACTCTGCTGTGGTCCCACGGAATGCTCTTAAAAGGCCAAGGCCCAAACTGGATGCCCAGAGGTAAATTTTAACGGGGTGTCTCTTTTTGTGATGAATTTGGCTGTGGGAGGAGGAGGAGGAAGGGTCCTGGTGATCCCTGCTGAGTGCAGGGTCAGGAGATGGGAAAGTGCCTTTGGGATGCAGTGTCTGAACCTTGCATTCCCTGCCTGCTGTATAATGCTATTTTTAGTCAAACTGGCTTGAATTCTTCTTGGGGCTTAGTACATGACTGGTACTTTAAGAGATATTATTTATAAATATTTATTGTTTACACCTGAACATCGTGATTTTGCTTCAGGCACAGAACTGTAGATTTCTTGGTTTAGTTCAAATCTGCTTCAAAATAAGACCTCAATATAATGGGCCCTCTAAGACACTAAATAAAGCACACTTACACCTGCTTTATGTACAAACTGGATGAACTCTATAGAAGAGATTTTTAGGTTTTCTTTGCTGTTATCACTAAAACTGGTGTAAGCTCTTTATAGCCAATAAAGAGTCCAGGCTTTCAGTTTGGTCTGATTTAAAGGCACTGGTGGGTTAGTCAGTGATACCACAGGTGAACCATTCAATTCTCTTTCTGTAATCAAAAGCAAAAAGCTGCTTGGACCAGGTCTACAAGTACTGTCAATTAAAAAGATCAAAAAGGTGTGGGTCTTGCAGCAATCTTTGTCCAATTTTGTACATTTTCTTAATGACTTCTGTACTTCTTTCAGGTAGAGCTCTGGAGCTTTGGGCTGTTTTAAGGAACGTCAGAGGGGTTTTTTTTTATGTTTGGGGTTTTTTACTTGTTATTTGAACAAAGAAAGCGGGTTTCAAATAACTCCTCCTGTTTCCTGTTACAGATTAACCTCAGACAGGGGACTGCCAGCCCTCAGACACATCTTTGACAACGTCAAGTTCAAGGGGAAAGGGCACGAGGTGAGACTTGGGCAGTGGAAGAGTCTTGTGGGAGGGGGAAGGAAAAGTTACCCAGGTGTTCATCCTGCCTAAATTTTCAAGAGACTGGAGCTGCAGATACTTTGTGTTTTCAGGAGTGTTGCTGTCCCTTTTCCCTCTGCAGCCTCCTGGCTTTGCCAGCTCTGAGCAGCCAGGTGTTGTTTTTTATGCTGCAGGCAGAGGACCTGAAGACACTCATCCAGCATATGGAGCACTGGGCACACAGACTGTTCCCACAGCTGCAGTTTGAGGATTTCATTGACAGAGTGGAGAATCTGGGAAACAAAAAGGAAGTGCAGGTATGTCGTGCCCTATGGACCAGTCCAGGAGGTTGGTTTGGGAGATCAGTTGTGCAGCAAAAGGAGCCTGAAGTTGTTCACATTGCTAACAATTATAATGTTACTTAAATTAACTTCTCACTGTTTAAAGCCCTTTCCAGTATTTATATTTCGATATAAATATTTATATTTAGATATAAATACTGGATAATAATTTGAATTAATACTTCAGAGGGTTGACTTCAGGACATCTTTAACCACAGTGAGTTGTTTCAGAGTGCTGGGGCAGGTTGGCTTTTGGGGTTTTGGTGCTTGGTTTTTCATGTTTGAACCTGCCAAAGAAGATGAAGAATCTTTGCTTCACCTGGCTGGGTGATGGGTGTAGGACTGGGAAAAATGATGCACAGCACTGACAGTTGTGGGTCTGACAGACATGGAGTGAAGAGAGTATATTTTCAGAGTAACAAAGTGTAAAAGTGCTGTGGTTTTAACATCGTTTCCAGTGTTGACCAAAAAAAGTTGCTACAGCTGAAGTACCAGTATTTAATCTCTCCTTTGCAGACCTGCCTAAAGAGGATTAGACTTGACCTTCCTATTTTACATGAAGACTACAAAAATAATGAAGGTATGCTCTCTGTGAGGTTTGTCAGTGCTTTAAAATGACTTCACTTCCCCTTCTACTGACCAGAAATTAATGATCATGATACATTTTTCTAATGTGGAAAAAATTGCTGAGTGGTCTCAGTTTTAAAACCAAACTTCTGTGAAACTTGTGATTAGACATCAACAGTTTTTTAAGGAAAGGAAGAAACAGAGGTAGCTTGAAAGAAGCTTTATTAGCAGAAATGGAGAATTTCATCGTCATTCCTGAGGTGCTGTGCAGGTTTCCACCCTTCCATCAGGAGTCTCTCCTGAACCATCGTCCAGGCTGTGTTCTCATGAAGATCAGACTCCAGACTGCCAGTGCCTTGGAAGGTGTTCTGGGGGATGAGTTCCCCTGGTGTCCCCCGTGGGCTGTTCTTTGGCAGATGGTGACCTGTGGCTCGCCCTGCCCCTGGGCTGCACTGGCTGGAGGTGGGTGCAGCCCTGGGCAGCCACACACAGTGACACGCAGTGACAGTGGCTGCTGCCGACAGGCCCTGCAGAGCCATCAGGCGTCCTGTGCGATGCTCCCACACATTCGGGTTCCTCTGGGCTGCTCTCAGCTGGGGGTGGTGCTGCAGCTGCTCTGCAGAGCGTGGGTGGCATCTCCCAGAAACCAAACCTGGAGCTGGAGTGCTGTGTGAACAACCAGCACCTTGTGCCAGCTCACGCTTCTGTCCCCAGGCTCAGGTGGTGCAGAGGCCCTGGGCACTCCTTTGGGAGTGCTCTGCTGCTCTCTTGGTGGGTGAAGCTTGTCTGATTAAACTGCCTCCATCTTTCGTGGTTTGTGTTGGGAGGGACCTTAAAGCTCATCTTGTTCCACCCCCTGCCATGGCAGGGACACCTTCCACCAGCCCAGGTTGCTCCAAGCCCCATCCAAGCTGGCCTTGAAAGTTTGGAATTCCCATAGCTACTCCTGCCGCTTCCTGAAGGACAGCGTCACATGAATAGGGTGGGAAGAACATTTCCTGGCCTTTCTGTAAGGATTACCTGGATTTACTGTGTCCTTTGAACCTTCAGGCACAGGTCCTGTAGCTCCCTCAGTACACAGATAGACACTGATTATTGTGGGGGCATCTCTGATGAGCAGTTCCTGTATCCTTTGAATATCAGGTATGTGGACCTTGGCAGAAAATTACCCGTTAAAACTAAACTGTGGGCTGATCTTCAGCTGCCAATACAACTGTAAGATGTAGAACATAGAAATGCTTTGAAAATGAACTTCTGATAGGTGTGTAGTGGGTTTAAAGTGTTGACTTGCATCCCTCTTCCCCCTCCCACCACTCATTTTTACCCAGAAGGAGAAGGGGAAAGCAATGGACTGGATGCAGCTGCTGCAGATGCACATTCCAGCTCTGGGAATGCAGAAGAACTGCAATGCCTGCCTGGCACGGCTCTCACAGAGGAGCAGCAGGAGCGGATGAAGAAGAACAGGCAGCTGGCACTGGAGAGGAGGCAGGCGAGGCTGCAGGGGCTCAGCCAGGCCCAGCCCAGCCAGGCCCAGCTCAGTGGTGAGAACCTGGGTCAGGGCTTACCCTCAGGGCAGGGCTGAGCAGCTGCTGGGGAAAGGGGATGCAGGGGCTGCTTTGCTAAGAAGGGGCAAGATGTGCAGCTCTGGCATTTCAGGAGTTCCCTGCAGTCCAGCTCCTCACTGCTCTGTGCCCAGCTGGGATAGCTTTGGCCTTGGTGAATGGAGCTCAGCTTGCTGGCTCTTTCTGAGCTGCCTTTCCTGCAGACTGGAATTCTGGTGCTGGAAACAGCAGGTAAACACAGTAAGTGTTGGCTCATGCTCTCCCTGTTCTCCTCTCCAGAGCTGCCCCCCAGTTCCTCAGGAGAGGAGCTGCTCACTCAGGACCCCGCTGACCTTACTGAAGACATTCCAGTTCCTGCAGCTGCTCTTACAGAGGATGGAGATGGAGCGTTGGGATGTGCCAGGGAAGAGCAGTAGCTGTTCCCACACTCTGGAGGCCTTTTTGACCCACAGACCCTCCTGGTTTAAGTCCTGTGATTACACTGGGGTGTTGCTGGCTCGCTGCATCCACGAGCTCCAGGGCCATCCTCACCACGGCACTGCTGGACTGGGACAGAGCTCTTCCCTGCAAGCTGCAGATGAGCAGCTCCACACACCAGGAAACAGAACAGACTTCTCCAGCTGCACTTAAACCGTCTTTTCCACCTCCCACGACATTTTTAGGATATATTGAGGTTTTTTACCTACTTTGCATTTAGTTTATAATTTATGCCAAACTGAATTACCTCGGATGTTGACAGGTGAATTTCTATTACAGTTGTGCTGCTTGGGGTTTTTTAACAGCTCTGTTTGGGTCTGAACAAGGGGACTGGGATTTTTTAACATGTTTATGCAGACCTGCATCTTTTTCTTATAAAATTAAAGTTATTAAATTTCAGAAGTCAAACCTGAAATTCTTTTATGAGGCTGTTCCAAGGCCAGGCCCTCCAACCTTCCCCATCCCTTGGGTCACACCTCTCTTCCCAGACAGGTCCCTGCTCTCAGCCTTTGGTTTTGAGCATATCCCTGACCCTCCCTCACCTGATTCTGCTCTGTGCTCGAGGCTCTGCTTCATCCTCTTCTCACAGTCTGGTTTTTCCCTGCACAACAGCTTTTCCCTGCTGTGGAATGAAGAGGAGTCACCCCCTCCAACAGCCAAAGTACTGAATGAAGCAGTAACCTCCTGGACACGGGTGGATTTTATGCTGATGTGCAGCTCTGGCATTTCACTGCACAGAATTCCCTGTTCCAGGTTAGTGTGAGGAGTTTGTATTTCATATCCTTGTAGAAATGAGTTTAACTCAGGGAACTAGAGTGGAACAAGGAAGTGTTTAGGTTTTAATAATTTAGGGGACAACGTGAGGAAAGGATTTTTGGAATGATATTTAAAAGAATTCACCACACTGCCTTTAGTCTGAAAGATGAGTTTTATCACATATAAAATCTTTTGGTAACTCAATACATGTTCACAATCAGATAAAAATAATTCTTATTTAAAATAGACGTTTAGCTTCTTATTAAAGGGACTCTTGAATATTTAAATAAACTGCTTAGTAAAACATCCCCCAAGCACTCGTGAGCAGGAGCAGCTGCTGGTGGGTCACAGCTCAGGTCTCGCCTCAGTTGACACATCCAGCAGCGCCAGCTCCCGGATCTCCTCCAGCAGCTGGTACAGGCTGGGCCCCTTGGTCTGGCAGAATTCCCGGTATTCCTCCTCCAGCACTTCCCCCCTGCCTTTCTCCTGGGCACGCTGGGCTTCCCCTGCCCCCTGACTGACCGCCTTGACCAGGTCAGCCCTGCCCAGCTGGGCACCGCTCGGGGCAGCCTCGCGGGCTGCGCGGGGCTGAGGGGCATTGCTGAGGATTTCCAGCCGGATGGTGTCGGCGTGGCAGCGGGAGCTCTGCACGAGGATCCTCACCTGCAAAGCAGTTACTCTGGAAATTCCTGACGGTGCTCCTTCCCTTTCCCCCCCCCATCAGCTGCCAGACTCACTGTGATGTGATCGAAGAGGCGCAGTGTGAGCGAGCCCCCGGAGGTTGGAGTGGAGGTGATCTGGCCCTGGGAGCGATGCAGGGATCCAGGTTTCCACTCGCAGCTCCCGGCCCCTCCGCACGAGATAACCAAGCCCTCCTTGTTCCTCATGTAGGCAGCACCTTTGATTCCATACCTACAACACAGCACACACAGCCTGCTCTGGTTGCACCCTTAGCAGTTCTCTCAGCTGTGAGAGAACTCCCTGGGGTTATAAAGAGCGACATGAAGGGCAAGCACAGCAGCCTGGGAATCCTGCAGGAACACTGAGGGGGCTGCCAGAGGAACCCAGGGAGTACAGGACAGCAGCACTGAGACAGTGACTGAAGTGCTTTGAGGGCAGTGAAGCAAAAGTGAAATAGTCAGTGCTCCCTTATCTGAGGGTTGGGTGGGGCCTGGGATGGCTCAGTGAGGGCAGAAGAGCAGCTTTACAGGTTTTTCCAGACAGCACAGTGGGGACACAGTTCTGCATTAAAAATAAGGTTACTTCAAAGCAGCAGCACGTGTGCCCTGGGTTCTCTCTAAGCTTTTCCTGGTTGGGGAGGTTGTGGCTCTTCAGCCATGGAGCCAACCCTCTGGAATGCACAGCACATCCAGGAAACTTTAAAATACACATTGAGAAGCTCAGAAATTAAAGTGTAGTGTTAGTTTCATGTAACTGCCTCCTGCTGGCACAAGTCAGTGTGGAAACACCTCTGTGTGTCCTGGTGCTCCTGGTACCACGTAGGTGTGGTTGTTCAGCTCACTGAGCTCCAAGGGACCCACCTGGGCACGAAGACGAGGACGCCGTTGGTGCGGATGGAGTAGATGACCCCGTCGGCCACGCAGCGCTCGTCTGTCTCGGGGCTCCTGTCCCTGAAGTACATGCACTGGAACAGCTCTGTGGACTGCTTCTGAGCTCGCTGGGCTGCCTGGGAACACCCCCACAGAAAGAGAAGACAAAAAACCTACATAAATATCTCAATAGCTTCGATTTTCATGGCTGCTTTTTCCCATTACTTACTCCCTTGCCCGTCCCTAGAACAGTTACATCTAAGAGGGAATCCTACATGTGGTGCAGTGAAGTATGAGGTCACTGTTACTTCCACTCTCAGAATAAAAACTAATATTTTAAAAAGCCCCACAGCATTCCAAATAAAACCAAAGGGCTCCTGTGTCCTCACAGTGCCCCAAAGCCACAATCCAGGGGCAGCACAGACATGGGGAGTCCCCAAGGACCACCTTACCCTGTTCCTGTTGTTAATGTGTCTGCACAGCTCCTCCAGGTCCTTGCTGCTGCTGACGTGGTCCTTGCCAGGCCCTGCAGCTGCCCCTGCCAGCAGCAGCCTGTGGACAACGATGTCCGCGTACCTCCTGATGGGGGAGGTGAAGTGGGTGTACTTGTCCAGGGCCAGCCCTGCCAGGGAAAGGGGAGCAGGGATGAGCAATCCATCCATCCTCTGCCTCCCCACTGCCCACAAACAACAGGGACAGCACAAAAACGAGCAGATACCATAATGGTGAAACTCCTCCTCGGGGCAGGAGCCAGTGGAGAAGTACAGGGCGTTGGCCATGGCGTGGGTGGCCATGGAGCGCAGCAGTTTGTTCACCAGGGGGTCCGAGGGGTCGTTGGCTTTGTCCAGGGACTCTGCCAGTGCTTTGTTAGACCTGGAAAACAGCAGGAGTCCTGAAGAAAATGACACTGGCCCTGGTCAGCAGGGCTTAGAGTTAACAACAGCATTTAAAACCACCGAGAAATTAACAGTTATTAATACAGAGATGGAAAGCAGGATGATCTCGAAACTTTCACCCCAGTTTAGAAACAGCTCTGCTCAAGGAAAATGTTTAGGAAAAAAAGAGTTTTAACCAACAGGCCTGTCTGCTGCAGCCTGGAGAACCAGGGACTGGAGCAAAACCCCATCCTGTGCACCACAGAACAGTGAGCTGGTCCAAAACCTTTCTGTCAGCACAAATGGGACAAGGTGACACCCAAATCACAGAGGCTCTACTGATGCCCTTCACTGTGATGGCCAGACACGACTCTCCCAATGTGATGACGCTCATGGCCTTCTCATTATCTTGACCAAGTAACTCTGAATTATTCTGAGTCACTGAAAACGACCACATTGCACAGGGTTCACCTGATTTAACCCAGTACTCCCTGACACAGGACACACAGTGCAAACAAGGCTCTTGCAGTGCTTACCCACTGCAGTGACTGAGTAAATGCTTTTCTGGGTATGTCTGCAATGACTCAGCCACTGCCATTTGCACTGGAACAGCTTCTCCTGGTCAGAACATCATCAGAAAGGTTATTAAAAATCTTTCTAGGAATTGCTCTGCAGTGCCTGTGAACACTGACACTCAGAGCTGGAATGGTGTGTAATGATAACATGGCCAAACAGTTAATTGCTTAACTTAACTTAAAGAACTAAATGACCCAAAGGTACCGTGTGTCTATGGAGAAGCCTTTGGCACTGGCACATTCCCGGAGCTCGGTGAAGAATTCCTGCCGAGGGGGAGGGTGCTGACGTAGCAAAGCCTGGTGGGGGAAATCCTCCCAAATCTTTTTTGCCACCCAGTGGTTGGCCAGGATCATGCACTCTGCCACGGTCTCGTGCACCTCCAGGGGCTGCCGGGGGATGAGGTCGTGGATGTTCCGTTTCTCGTCCAGCTGCACTCGGATCTCGATCCCCTCCAGCTCCAGGGCCCCGCTCCTGTCCCGCCTGGCCCTCGCGTGCCGGGCGATCTCCGTCAGTTTGGAGATGGCCCAGGCCAGCTCCGACACCTTCTTCTGCCTCGCCCCTTCATCCAAGTGCTCCAGCTCGGGGATGTCCCCCAGGACCCCGGGGTCTCCATCCAGCAGTCCCTGGGCCACCTCGTACTCCAGCTTGTAGGAGGAGCGGATGACGCTCCGCGTGTACCGCACGCTCAGTGCTTCGTAGGATCCCTCCTCCAGCTCCCACAGGACACTCACAGCGTACCTGAAACACAACAGCCCTGCTCACCTCAGCCCTACTGCAAATGTCCTAATTTAATTCTGGGTTTCTTTTCTCCATGAAACCAGAGTTCAGCAACATCACTAATTAATGCATTTGCCTTTTGTGTATCACAGCTTCATAACTAAGGACCAGCTGCATCAGCAGTGTTCTCAATCCAGCCAAATCCAATGTTTTCAATCCAATCCAATCTAGGGCAGAGAACCCCTAAGATATAAGGTCACAATTATTTTAAAGCAGTCACACTGCAATAGTTATTTTTATTCATTTTCATTTTATTAGATGCATCCACAATGAGTATCTCTGCATATCCTCATGCCAGCCACCAACTGACCCTGGAAACTGAAACAAAATGGGATAATGGCCTGTTTGAGGAACAGCACAATAGGAAAAAATGTGACCATTCACATGGATGCACTTCTTGGCAGCAACACTGAGTGACACTCCATAAAACCGCTCCTGGAATTTAAGCTGGGCATTTAACATCCAGCGTTAAATCACACAGAAAAGAAGTTTACATAGCAAATCATTCCTGCTGCTCTCTGGGAACAGGGATAACACAGGTAGGAAACCTTGCTTTTGCTTCATGAGTCTTCTGTCAGCAGTTACTCTCATCCAAGAAAATACTCAGCACTGATGAGAGATAAATATTACAAGAGCTCTCTAGTGGGGAAATGTGTCAACAACAAACGATTTCAGGAATGCATTTTTCATGTTTAAAGAAAAAAATCCAACCCCAATCTTCTGTGATTTCATGTCTGTATTCCAAAGGATAATCCTTTCAGCTACCTCTGGTAGAACTGAAAGGTATTTTTTAATGTACACTGTTCTCGCACTTGAGGATTTAGTAACAATGCAAAAACATCCCAACACAGAGAATGGTAATAACAATTAAATAACAATAAAATTACTGGTGGAAATCTCCTTCCTCAGAAGGATTAGAAAGCCTTACCTGTCAACCCCGCTGAGCAGGGAGCAGAGGTCAGCACTGAGGACAGAGGGCAGCATGTCATAGCGACGGTCAGCCAAGTAACACGTGGTGGCCCTGAGGAATAAAACAGTTCCTGCCCTGGCCCCAGCGCTCCTGGGTGGGCAGCTCCCAGCAGGGTGGGGGGTCAGATTGCTCAGATTGCTTCAGCTCAGCAGGACACACGGCCTGGCTCGAAGAGGTTATTCCTACAGAGCACACACAGGGGCAAGACCCAAGTCAAGTGGTTTAAATAACTGATTTTGCCTGCCTTGGTACTGCAGCTCCTTTAAGGCCAGAACTAGGGCTGGACAAAATATGCTCAGTGAGGAAGAGGTGATTTAATGGCTCCATCAAACATCTCTGCTGCCTACACCATTCACACTTCTTTGCATCTACAAAGAATGCAGCTCATGAAGTGATTCAGCATTTCAACTTCAAACCAGTTCAAAAAAGAGAATGAGATATGGGCACATTAAAACACCAGACTGAGTATTAAAGCATAAGCCTGACAAATACCCCTGGCATTAAACCCATGTAAGATTTAATTCCATTTTGTGGCTGTTCTGTGCTCCGTGTGGGGATTCATCCCCCTTGGAATGCAAACACGTGGATTGCAAAAATACCTCACGTCACAAATGCTGAAGCAGAATACGGAGCAGAGCAGTGGTTAGGGAAAGATAAATCATAACTCTGGGGAAGATTTACCCCAATAAAAGCAGAATGCTGTACATTAGTTTCATACATTAGTTTCAATCAGCTGCTCCCACGACACAGAGCGAGCATTTCCTTCCCTCCATCCCAAGTTTCCCTGGGGCAGCGTCACCAACTCGTGAGCTCTGCTCATTTCCCAGCTTGCAGGAGCCCCTTTACCTCGCTCTGGCCTCCACATCGGTGTAGGAGTTGGCAGGCACGAAGTGGGTGACGTCTGCAATGTGCACCCCCAGCTCCAGGCGGCCGCGGGGCAGGGCCCGCACGGACAGCGCGTCGTCCACGTCCTCGCAGCCCTTGGGGTCGATGCTGAAGATCAGGTGAGTGTCCCGCAGGTCGAGGCGCTTTTCCACCTCCTCCGGCTTCACCTGCCACGGATTCTTGGAAGAACTGGCGGGCATTTCGCTCATCTGCACACAAAAACGGTGTTGGTGAAGGCAGGTTTACGTGTTTTCTACCAAAAAAAAAAAAAGCCAGCAAATCAGATTTAATTGGTTTTGCAAACTCTTCTTGCCTTGTGTTTTCCGAGTCAGTCCATTCCATTTACTTTATGGAAAACATGAAACAGAACTGAAAAGAGTTCTACTGTATCAATGACAGCTGATATTGCTGTGGTACTGCAGTATCACAGTGACCACTGACATCACTGTGACACTGCAGCTCTGGCACACATCACCACTGCATACTGGTGTTTTTACTTTCCTTTTCTTTCCATTAATTGTAGGCATAATCAAAATAGTTCTTTATGAAACCTGGGTTGAAGACAAAAGCATTTAAGACAAAGATTTCAGTAGGAGCAGGCCTTTAGGATCAGTACCATAAGCACATATTAAAGACAGTAATATCTTGTAAGTTTACCTCAAATTAAAATTAAGAGTTTGTAATCTTTTCCTCATAGAGAACAGATTATCTTAAAATCATTTTTAGCTTGAAAATTTGTAGTGTCTTTAGAACCACTGATCCAAAATATTCCAGAAAAATAAACTCTCAGTAGTTTTCAGCTTCCAAACACCTGCTGGCAATGAGGCCATTCAGCTGTAAGAGGGTCCCTCTCTTTGAGGAACAAGAGATGAACAGAAGAGAATGTGTTTGATCCCAAAACACACCTGGATTTCCGAGAAAGGGGCAGCACAGATGCTGTTCTCCACCAGAATAGCTGCAATTTCCCCCTCAAGATCTCCAATCCTCCCCAGGACTCTCACAAAGTGCCCGTTGGGATACAGGGAAGTTGATTCCCAGGAATCGATTCGCACGACAACCCTGTAATCCTGCAGGGAGACAGCTGGGTGAGAGCAGGCCATGGACAGCAACCCCAGGGCACACAGAGCTCCCCCAGGGACTGCAAACTCCATCAGTTTTATGGGATGGAAAAAGAAACCCACAGTGACAAAGATACAAATACTGAGAATTACATTTCTGTCCCCATCAAGGGCCCACCTGGGTCGTTATGTGGAGAATCTCCACCTTGAAGGGTTTCAAAAAAGCAAGGCCAAGATGTACACAAATGTTGTTACATTACCTGCAATGCTTCAGCTTGCTGGGTACTGATCCGGATCTTGGGAATTCGGTAATCCCAGGGTGTTACAAGGACTTTCTGAGCGTTCCTGCCCTGGGACTGACTCTCTTCTTTGGAGGGAAAAGTGACCACATAATCCCTCCAGTTCTTCTGAGTGATCCCAACAACTTTACCTTTAAATAAGGAACATTGGACATCCCACAGTGACACAGGAACATGAAGGAACGACGTGGGAGGCAGAGCAGATTCACTGCTTTGTCACACAACATGCACTGACGTGTCCCCAAATGTGTGTCCCAAGTGCCAGCAGTGTTTGGTGTGCACACAATGCCCGTGTGTTACAAATTATTGTTGGCACAGCCAGGTTTTAACAAGCCTTTACTTATGGGGAGATTATCTCAGTGTATAGATTTCAACTGATGCATAATCCATAAATTATTCAGAGATTCCCACTGCTGCTGGAATGTGGCCAGTTCTAGTGAAAAATACAGAGAATTTTTAAGGAGGCAGAGCAAAACCAAACATCTTTTCCTTGCAGAAAGAGAATTAACCTCTTAAAACTTTTAACTCTGACCTCAACAAACCTGTAGCTGCAAAGTAAATTCCAAGTAAGACTCCAAGTTCCCATGGCACACAGGCAGGTCACACTGGGATACTTTATCACCTAAAAATTGGGGTTTCTCATTATTCATCAGCAAGGCATTAAAAGGGTGCTGTGTCCTTACCTGTGGGCATGGGGTCACCCGTGGTGTCAGCAGGGGCTTTATCCTCTGTCTCATTCTCACAGAGGGCAACAGTCCTTCCCTTCCATTCCTGCACAGGGAGCAACTCCACAACCACCACATCCCCGTGGATGGCACGATTCCGAGCCTTGGTCCCGTAAATAAGGATGTCACTTTGAAGTTCTGGATTTCAAATAAAAAGAAACAGAGCTAGAATCCTCCAAAAAGTTTCAAACCCCTCCACTCTTGGCAGCGTTCTGCTGAAAGAACAGAAAATTACATTTGTAGTATGTTTTCTTCCAAGAAAAGGACTACTGGCAAGTAATTAATATTGCAAAGAAATTAAAACCTTTTCCACTATTTTTTAAGGAGATATTAAGCAGTTCTGTAAGTGAACTCTTGGAGAAAAAGCAGCAGAGTTCATTGTTCTTAGGCAGCAGCTTTAAAAACACACAACACTGTCAAATTGTGGCAGCCACTGCCACAGGATTCTGGGCAGGGTTCAGAACAAAACAAGCTTTTAAAAAATAATTAGTGTATGAACAGTGGTTTGACTGCAGGGCCTGTCACAGGAACCTTTCAAAGTCATTGCTGAGAGCTGGGACATCAACGGTGTTAATTGGGGACAATGAGACAATGCTGATCAGTCTGATCCAAAGGGCATTTTTCCTGTTTTTTATTGCAGTCAAATGAGTGGTCACCTGAAGTGAGAGCAAAGCACAGGGATAACAAGTGGCATTAGTATTTAACTTCAGAGAGGTCCAGAGAAACCCCTGAGGAGGACAAGAAGGTGGACAAAATGCTAAGAAAGGAAGGCCATAAAGACTCTTGTGTTTGCTCTCAAGGCCTCCTGTCCAGCCCATGAAAATCACCCAAGCATTGCACTATCTCAGCTCTCATCTTGTTTAACAACAGCTACATCCACATTCTCCTTCATGGAAAAAGCCCAGCGTCAGAAAGGCCCTGAGCAAATGTCCCCCCGTGTTTTTTCCCACCTGTGTCTTTGCTGCCACACCCCTGAAGTCGAACAAAAGCTTCCAGTTGTGCTCGGTGCTTGTTGACGTTCAGGGTGCCCTGAAAGAAAACAACAAACCCATCAAAGGAATGAAACAGTCCCACCCCTAAAGAGCCAGCTTTAAAGGACAACATTTTGGGGTTTGCCATCATCTTTACATAAATCAGTAGGGGTTTTTTGATAGGTGGGTTATTTTGAATACAACTGTTCACTCTGTAGGGGGACAAGGCAGGGTGCAGGATTTGAGGTACTCATGTGTGGAAAAGAATGGTAAATTCTTCTAAATGCTCAATTTATCTCTAAGATGGTAAAGGTCATTTTATTCCAGCCACAGGCAGTGTGAGATTACTTTTGCTGCCTGCTTTAACATGGAATCTGGCATTATTCCAACAAGAAAGAAAGACCTCAGTCTCTCTGTTTGTATTTTATTCCTGCCTTGCTGCTGAAATTGCCAAGAAAGGAACAAATTACTGCCCCTAATTCTTTAAATAATTTTTAAGAGAAAGACACTTGTCCACCAACAATCCATATTAAGGCCCTGAACAGCCATAAAACTATAAATTAATGTCACTGACTGAGAGATCTCTGTGCACATGAAGCAAGAACTGCTGCCCTTGTGCAGCATTCTTTGTATTGAAGAATAAGATCCAGCTGATTCAAAACACACCTGGTTTCTCAATTCACGGGTATATCACATATCAACCTGAAGAAAAATCCACAGCAAATTTAAAATCCTCAGTAGCCAATTCTCATTATAAGTTCTCCAAGACAAAAAGATTAAAAAAATAAAAATCCACGTATTCACAAGAAATATTTTAAGAATCTCAATCCCTTCCACAGCAATGTTTCTTTGTCTGATCAGTCTCATTCAGGCTGAAGGAACCAAGCACAAGACTGCCCTGGTCTGTGTGTGCTCTCTATGTAACAAATTACCTGCAGGTACCTTCCAGATTTGATGCCAGCCTCCAGTACTTCCAGAGGTAAATGCTCAGGATATTCCTTTCCGTGGTTCTCTTGGCTTTCACTCTCCCGTTCACGCCGAGCTTGAGTTATGGAGTCAAAGAGTTCATGGGCAGCCTTTAAATCAGGCCAGAAGTTATCCAGGTAATTCTGCAGGCACAAATATAAACAGACAGGAAGGTATTTAGAGGCCTCTGTTCCTTTAATAATGCATTTGGAAAAGCCCTGATGGACATGAAACATCTCAGGTTTATTCTGGATTCAAGCTAAATCATGGATAAATACAACCAAGGTAAATTGGTTTACTCAACATCCTTTCCCAGCTGACCACAAACATCCTGTCCCCATATCCCACTGAATGAAACAGCTTCAGAGATCAACACCAAAATGCAGAATTATCTTCTCAGGCATCCCTGTATCCTCAGCAGTCTGGGCTGAAGTGAACTGGCAGGATGCTGCTGATGGATATTTAGGGTACAGCTGTTGATGGACTGTTGGCACTGAGGGAACTGATCACAGCTCATCAACACCAAACTCTTTAAAAACAGAGAAAGCACTGAAAAGGGCTCCTAAGAAAGATGACCTCTGTTTTCAGAGCTGCTGTTTTTCTCTTCAGCTCTCTGGTTTGTTCCCTGCCATCATTTTTTCTGACATTCCCATAAGTGACATCTCTGCTCTCTTTGAGAAACGAAGGCACGAGTCACCCATCACAGTTTCCTCCAGTGTAAACTCTGGGGTGATTTGCAGTACACTTCAAGGTACCTGATGCAGCATAAAGGAAACCTTCTCTTTTCCTGGCACGTTACCTTGAAGGAAATCACAAACACTCCTTCTGTTTCGTTCCCAAACTGCCTGATGGCATCTTCATCTTCCGTCACCATAACAACTGGCATCTGCCCCAAGCAGTGGTTGTAATACCAGGCTGCTGCGTTGTAAATGTTCCTAGAAAAGCAAAGTTTGAAATAACTTTTCTGGCAGAGCTCATTTGCTACTTGCAAGACTTTTGCTGGCTTTGTATAAAGGAGATTTTGGTTTAACACACAGGCTTTTGAGAGATATATAGAAGTTACGTAAACCTGTTACCTGCAAAAATGTTTATGTGTTTGTAAGCTCCAGGAGAAGAGAGGAAAATGGGATGTTTCCTCCCCAGCACACTCACTTGTGCCCTGGCTGCAACACAACATGTTCTTCCTCTGACTGGAGGTTTGTAAAAAGCAAGGGGAGCTGCCAAGACTCCAGTGCTGTGGTGTAACTTTACAATGACCCAGCTTTTTTTTACCATTATTGCATTTAATTTAGTACATTCTCACTTTATTTGTAGAATTTTTCTTAATCATTAAAGCACAGTCTAGACTGTCAGTGACTGTGAACTGCTCCAAAGCCAAGCAGAGCAAGGGCCTGAACTCTCAGTACCCAATGCTCACATTCCTAAACACAGAGCCATGATCCTGTCCAGTGTGGCACTGCAGAGGTTAAACCCAACCTGCTCTGCCATTTCTCCATGGATTCTCCCTTCTCTCTTGGCAAATAGCAGTGCTGGTGGAATTCATTGGCAAACACGGTGCAGTCGTGCCGGGGGTCCTTCAGCAGGTTTCGTAACTTGTTGTACTGCCTGGAATACAAAAGAGATAAATACACTTTTGTGCCTTCTTTTGGTAATGCTGTTCTAACTCCAGGTGAAAATGCAGCTGAAGAACTCAAGGCAAATCACTGTCATGCACAAAGCAATGCATTCATGGAATCACACCACTGATGGTACAACCCAAACCACCACCTGCAAGCAAGCTTTTCTAACTTCCATCGGGAATGCTTCTCATTTTAAATATATGATTTTAAACACTCTGATTTAATTTTCAACATTTTAAACATTCTGATTTAAACTTATTTGTTTTCCAGCAAGTCCCAGAAAACATCCTAAGTGTTCAGGAGCTTATCTTGTCACTTAGGGCCAACGGCTATTTCTGCAAAAGCATTTGTGCTTCAGAGATACAGGAAGGCCTTGGGAGTAAATTTTACTCTAAAAAGCCACGGGGACACACAGGTTCATGTGTGGTGAGTACCACAGAATAGCACTGATTGCTCCCCAAAGAAAAGTGCTCAGTCCTCAACAGAGCAAACCCAAACCTGCCACAGTCCAGCTGTGGCTCATGATGTATCATTACTGCAAAGCCTCATTCATTCCTGTCACAAACCATCTCATTAATTAAGAATGTCACAGGTTTAAAACTGCTCCTATGAAATGAAAACTATGCCAGGCATTGCTGCCTGTGGATCACAAAGGACCCCACTTCTTCCCCTGCTGTAAAATTATATTAAGGCACTTGAAAGACCTAAAAACAAATGATACATTTTACAAAGTCACTCTTCTCGCTTCAATCTAGATAAAAAATAAGGTTTTATGGGATAAGTACCTGCGTCCTTTTTGGTGCTGCACAGCCTGACAAGCTGTTTGCATGAAGATAATTCCTTTCAGCTCTGGAAACTCCAGAATCTCCAGGTACTCCTGCACAACTTTGCAGTCGGGGACCACGTAGTGTGTGACGTCATCTGAGAGCAATTTGCCATCTGAAATATAACCCAGAGTTTAAAGGCTTAAATGGCACTTCTAACACTGGTTCAGACCTCAGGGAATTCGAGTTGTGTGTCCCCCAAGATGTTCATCTCCCTTCTTCTGCTGAACAAAATTATGGCTACTATGGTACAGTTCTGTGGTCAAGTCTCTACATTCCTGACAGAACCTTTTTGCATCCACTGATGCCAAAATTTAGTGTCAATTCTATCCAAAGGAGTGAAAAAGAGCCAGTTTCATAATGAAAAGCCTGTAACTTAAGGAGTACAGGCAACAGCCCTTTTTCCTCTCCCTCCATGTGAAAAAGGGACCACACCTCTGGGAGGAAAGATCTTTTACTGGAATTTTCAAGGGGTGTAGAATCATGGGCAGTTCTGTTATCTGCCCCCACAGCTCTCTCTGTTCACAATACCCATTTACAGCAGTTTTTTTGGTATATCTTTATGTAAAAGAGCACAGGTAAGAGCACATGTGGAGAAAAGCAATGCTACTGCTAAGAGAAGATGTTCTTGAACCCAAGCTATTAACCATCACTGCTAATTTTCTCTGAAGAGACTCCCTCCCTTAGGAATAAAGCATCAAAATACCACAGCCAGCCCATCACAGATGACACCTTAAAATTAATGAGTTTAACTGGTTTTGGTATTTCAAAGATTGCCCACTAAACTTTCAGATGGGGGAGATCTCCACTGTATTTTCTCTTGGTACCTGTTTAACCTTCATGGTATTATCAACACTGAATTGCTGAGCTCACCAGAGTGCAGGCAAATAATACATAATAAAAGTACACAGACCCTGACAAGTCATGCTATTTTCATGTCTTTTTTAGAAGCTGACCCAGGACAATCTGTCAGTGAACTGTGACCACTGGAAGTGTGGATCCAGTCAGCACAACTGTAATTTGCCTTCCTCTCCCACTGAAGGATTATAATGGATGATGGCAGAATGCATACAAGAAAGCTAATATTTATTAATAATTCAGAAGAGCATTAGAAGTGAAATGTCACTGGAAGATTTATGTAATCTGCCCACACTAAGCTATCCTTGCCTAACCTATACATCCAGAACAGAGTAACTTCTGAGCAGGCACAGCTCACCCTCACAGGCACCTGCAGATGTGATTTATTCAGGCAGTCCCTCGCAGCGCAGGAAATAAATTTGCTCAGCACACTGTGCAGAGTCAGGAAGGAAAACAAACGTTCCCCTCACCTCTGGGTTACCTTGAATAATTACAGAGGCAAATATTCTGACAGTCACCTGCAGCACAATTTACGCTGGCGTGCAGAAGAGGGGAAGTTTGGAACGGCAGGAGAGGTAAGACATTTCTTCTATGTGTTTTTAACTTATCCTTAGGGAATTCAAACCCAAATGCAATATATTAAGGAGCAGTGACTATCACTAGGCCTGACATCCCATGCAATACACTGCAATAATATAAATAATATACCGTCTGCCCTCAATTGTAACAGACACCTAAACCAAAAGTGACAACATCTATGGCAGTGACAGTTCCAAAGAATTAAAATTCTCAGCCTCTTCTTTTAGGCAAGCCAATAATTTGGTCTATTTAAACAGGTTGGATATTACTGTTTAATAAATTGTGCTGTTTTAACACCCACAAAAAACCAGACTGAAATATCAACCAAAGCCCAGGTGATGATCTATGATGCACATAAACACAGTCTGTAAAAACAACAACAAATGCAGACATCAGAGCCTGGCAGCCTTCCCGTGTCTGAAATGCCCTGATATAACACAGGCAATTACATTTAATTACTGAACAGAAAGAACTGCTGATGCAGAATTACAGTCGCTTCAAGATAATGGCTTGGCCCCGTTGTTATACTTAACAGGTATGTACAGAATTTAATGCATGCTATAAACCAATACCCTGCAGAAATTAATGCCTTTTTTAAGGATCTTTTAAAACACGGGGAGCGTAAAAATTGAACAATCCTTCAGCCCTTTATCACTGCCTGTAAACTGCTCACAGTTAACCCCTGGGACAACCAACTCCGCGATCCCTTTCTCAACGCCTCGCTCATTTCCGAAGGATCTTGCTTTGAAGGGAAACTTTTGCTACAGCCGCGATTTGGGACTCTTTGGTCTTTCCAGGGTGGTTCAGCAGCATCCGAACCTCAGCTCGGGGATCACCCCACGCCCTGGGATCAACCCCCTGCCCAGGGATCACTCTTGTTCAGGGATCACTCTTGTTCAGGGATCACCCTGTGCTGTAGGGATCACCTTGTTCAGTCACCTGTCAGGATCACCTCCGCTCTGGGATCACTCCCTGCCCTGGGATCAACCCCCTCCCTCAGGGATCACCCCCTGCTCAGGGATCACTCTTGTTCAGGAATCACCGCCTGCTCAGGGATCACCCCTCCCTCAGAGATCACCCCCTGCCCAGGGACTACCCCCTGCCCAGGCATCACCCCTCTCTGGAATCACCTCAGCCCAGGGATCACTCTGCTCAGGGATCACCCTCGCCCAGGACCACCTCAGTGCCCAGCTCTGCCTCCGGGATCACCCCTGCCTCAGGGATCACTCCCGGCCTGCCTCAGCGGTCCCCGCCTGCCCCCAGGCGGTCCGCCCCTGCTCAGGCATCACCTCGCGCGGCGCATCACTGACTGCGCTGCGGCACAGCGCGATCCGTGCATCCGGCAGCGGCACGTCCGCCCGCAGGTAGTGCTCCCGCACCACCCGCACGGCGCGGCCCTGCTGCCCCCGCAGCTGCAGCACCTTCTCCGTGCGGAGCATCGGGACCGGCGGGGAACGGAGGGCACCGGGGGTGGAACAGCAGCGACCGGCGGGCACCGGCGGCCCCGAGGCCGCGACTGCCGGGGCGCCTGCGCGGGGCGGGGCGCGGGGTCACGGCGGGGAACGGCACGGCCGAGGGACCGCGGGTCGGGCTGAGCACGAGCTCCGCACCGGCAGCTCTGCAGGACAGCGCGACTGAGCTGCGGGCACGGAGAGCTCCGACGGACAGGCGGAACGAGCTGGGGAACGGCAGCTCGCAGGGCGCGGAGCAGCAGGGCACCGGCGGGAGCGGCAAGGCACCTGAGGGACACGTGGAACGAGCTGAGCGAACTGGAACTTGAGTTGAGGGACAGGCGGAGCGACGCTGAGGGAACCGCAACGGCCGGGCGGCGGACGGAGGGAACCGGGAGCTCTTGAGAGGCAGGCGAACGAGCTGAGGGAACTGGAACTGCGCTGAGGGACGGGGAACGAGCCGAGGGTACTGCGGACCGAGGGGCGGCTCTGAGGGACAGGGTGGGAACGAGCTGAGGGAACCGGGGCCAGAACTGAGGGACAGGCGGGAACGAGCTGAGGGAATCGGGAGAGTTCTGAGGGACAGGGAGGAACGAGCTGAGGGAATCGGGACAGCTCTGAGGGACAGGCGGGAACGAGCTGAGGGCACGCAGGCACGAGCTGAGGGCACGCGGGCGGTACCTGAGGGACACGGGGGAACGAGCTGAGGGAACTGGAACCTGAGTTGAGGGACAGGCGGAGCGAGCTGAGGGAACCGCAAAGACCGGGCTGAGGCGGACTGAGGGAACCGGGAGAGCTCTTGAGAGGCAGGCGGGAATGAGGTGAGGGAACTGGAACTGGAGCTGAGGGATGGGTGGGAACGAGCTGAGGGTACCGGGGCGGCACCTGAGGGGCGGCTCTGAGGGACAGGGGGAACGAGCTGAGGGAACCGAGAGAGCTCTGAGGGACGGGGGGAACGAGCTGAGGGAAGTGGAGCTGAGGGAACCGGGCGGCTCTGAGGGGTCGGTGCCGGGTGGGCGCTGAGGGGAACCCCGGTCGATGCAGGTGCTGAGCCCCAGCTCGTGTGGGTGGGCGAGCAGAGGGAAGAGATACCCTTCCAATGAGGGAAAAATTGAGAGATTTTGGGGGTACAGTGGAGAAAATGCTGAAAAAGTAGTTGGGGTGTCCATGGGAGGCAAATGAGAAGAACCGGTCAAACTCTGTTAGGCTGCAGTGGCAGGAGGATGGCGTGGTTGGAGTGAAGATACATGTGGGGGGTTTCTGTTTGTTTTTAGGTTTCCCACTCCAAGGACAGTGTTCTGGAGGTATTGGAGGCACTGGAGGGTTGAAAAGGATGCAGGGAAGAACAAGAACAAATCGAGGATGCTTTGCTGTGCCTAAGCTCTAGACCTGCATGAGTGCACGTGTGTGACCCTCCATGGTTTTCCTGGCATCTTCCAGGACAGATCCCAGGTCCATTCCTCAGTCCTGATTTTGTGGGATCACCTGCAGCACTCAGGGAGTTGAGGTGGGGATTTGGGTATGAGAATTGCAACCCTAATGCCAGCTAATTTTACAGTGGACACCAATATTGTCCTTCACATTTACAGCGGGGGGAAATAAAGGCACTGACAGATTAAGTCTAGTCCAAGATGAAACAGAAAAGCAGCAGAAGGTCGTGAGTCCAGTGCACTGACTCTGGGTCTGAGTCACTGCCCTGTGAATAATGAAATGTAATGCTGAAAACATGCCATTTTGGGGATGATTATTTGGACTATTAGGAAAGCATTCCTACTTTCCCACAAAATGCCTCCATCATAACCTCACTTGAACATAAATACATGGTGTGAGCTGTGTAGTGTTTGTCCTTAGGAGGAAAAAAAAAAAAAAACCTGGGAAAGAGCCAAGGCAGTATGTCACTGTATGTTCCTGTTTATTCCACTTCTTATTTTTCACATGTTTTATAAAATGTGTATCTGCACTGACTAATACTTTCAAGTAACCAATTGGTGCCAGTAAATGGAAGCACCATCTGTAAGGAACTGATTTGCAGGAGCCAAGTTCTCAAACATCTGAGGAGGAGGAGGTGTTATAACTTAGTGAGAGACGACCAAAGTGTAGACTCGGGCTCGGTAGTCAGGATGATTTTAGATGTATTATGTAAGCAGGATGTGAGAGGAAAGGCGAAATGGAGACCAAATGATGGAGCTCTTGTTCAGTAGGAACAAAGATGAAGCAACCTGTGGTGAGAGAAAGGGTAAGAAAAACACAACATTTGGGAGAGAAGACATTTAATTGAGTTCGAAATGTAGAGGATGCTGAGTGCTGACACAGTGAGGAACACAGACCAGCGTGCTTACTCAGTGACATTCACTGACTGCAATAAAGTGAAGGTTAATTAAAGAAAAGTAGCTGAGATCACTGCTCTCATTTGTTCACTGTTTCACAGAGGAAAATGGAAGACCTTTGGGCCAAGTTCCTGCCTTGCTGGTGCTGTCAAGTAGCTACTTATGTATTTCTAACATCCTACTCAGAACAGTTTTAACCTTCTCAGCTTCCCCCTTCCTTCCTTCCTTCCTCTTTTGGAGAGCAAGTTCCTGTGATTGCAAAAGGCAAAGCTGGAGTCACTGAAGCCAAAGAGAACTCTTGGCACTTTATGTAACAACCGAGTTTGCCCCTGTGAGATCCGAGATGAACTTTGGTGCTCATCTGGTAACTTGTCTTTATACAGGGCAAGAGGTTTGTGCAGGAACAGCCAAAACTAACAGGATAACAAGGGCATTTTCAGGAGTTTTGAAAGAAAAGTTTCAGAAATGTCTGAGCATCAGCACTAGAAGATCTTCTCAAATGTTGAAGCAGGAAGGTGCAGCGTGGTGTGGCTGCAGACTGATGGGACACACATTTCTTCATGCAGTTTTACTCTACAAAGTGCTTTGTGAAGAAAAAAATCATGGTAGAATAGCAAGAAGTTGGTACAGATATTATTTTTATAGAGTACTCCTCACTTTCAACCAGTGCTCCTTGGATAACACCAGGGAGTGCTAGAGAAGCACTCTAGCACTCTATTTTAAATGAGCAAGGGAAGCCTTTAGAATTCAGCTGTGTGTTTGTGCTTCCTAGCAATGGGAAGTTTGAGCCTCTCAGGAGCAATCCCTCCTTGGAAAAGCATGTGAGGAGGTGCAGCTCAGAATTTCAGTGGGTTACCTTTGGATAGAAGTTGCTCAGTATTTTGGTAAAGAATCCTGAGGTCACTGGAGAATACCAGAGTTTGGCTGGTGTTTGCCAAGCCTGAAGCCCAATTTACCTGGCAAATACCACAACCAAGAGACAGAGTGTTAGTGTGGGATCCACACAGTCATGGAGTCAACAGAAATCATATCTTTTTACGTGAAAAAGGCCTTTTTAGTTTTTTCCCTTACAAGCATTCCATCACTGAAGCAGAGGATGCAAGATTTGATTATCTTACAGCACATTTTTGAAGTAGGTTCTTCCATTCTTAAAGCAATTGTGGAGCAATTGGCAATTCAGCATCTCCTTCTAACTCACACTAAACTGGATAAATGCTGTCTTTCCTCTTGGAGATTCCTTCTCCTGGATTGCTGGCTCTGTAAAAAGTGTTGTAAAAACAGTGCCCACATCTAGAATGGTCTCAGGATTAACTCCTTGCACTCATAAAAAAAGAAAGATATCAAGTTATTTTAACAATGTCTGTTTTCTGGAGTCCTGTGTTCACTGGCAGTAATTATGTCACCCTCCTTCAATTATTTTTGTCAGCACCCATGTTAATTAGACTCCCTGTTATATTGCACTTTGATGATTATCCCATTTAATCCTTTGAAATTATTTATATAGCGTTACAAAGTACACGAGGATGTTCTTTCTTATTTTAGCCACAAGAAAAGGATTTTTGCTGGGCTTGGGAATGTTCTCTCTGCATTTCAGGTGGATTTCGCGCAGGCAATACCAGGCAGCACCACTGGGAGACGCTATTTAATCGAGTTTGGGTTGAAACGGCACCTTTTGCTCCCCTGCCCGTGTCTGATGGGCTCAAATCCCGCCTTTCAGCCTCCCTGAACGAACTGCTCGGAGTTGCTTTTAACGCAACTCGCCAATTTTCTCCACAAAATAAACTAGAAACTGATGCTGCTCTATAACAATAATAAAAACAAGGCTTGCAGAGCTCTTCGAGCATGTCAGGAATATGAAACTCCTCCGTGTTTACAATTATTGGAAGCATCAAAGCAATTTATCACAATACCTGGTATTTACTGTGCTGTGCATTGGATTTTCTCCCCACCACCCTTTTCCTCCGTGGATGCAGCTCAAAAAGTTTACAGCACTGAAGTCAAAGTTATGTACTGTTTTGTTTCACCTAATTTTCTGTAACTTTACTTAGTTTACGGCAGGATTTTCACTATATTTAGCGATGAGAGATCTCAAATATTATTCCAAGGGAAAAAAGCCTTGCTAGTGCCATCATTAGAATGTTAAACCTTATCTGCTCGAGGAGCTTTAGGTTATTTACAGCTGATGGATTCCAGAATTCCTGCTTTCACAAAATGTGTTTGTATGTTGGAAGTTATGCTGGAAGTTAGGAAAACAATTTGGATCAAAGGACAAGGCCACCACATCAATCTTTTTGTCATCAAAATGCCTTTGATTTGGTCAGAGCCTTTCCCCCGATGCTCAGAGCTGCCTCGGCCTCCAGGTTCAAAGGACAATGGTGGTTAGAGGAGGAAAGACCTCACAGGTCACCTTTTCCAGCCACTTCCAAATTGGGATTGCTCCCCATAGTATCTCCAGCTCAGCTTCGGGGTCAGTGCTGCACAACATCACTCTCTGAGCTTTGCTTATTTATACACCCCAGCAAACAGAAACCAGAATTGCCAGGGGGACTTTTTTCAGTCCCAGTTTCTGTGGAGGAGTTTGTGGGTGAAGCTGATGAATTCCCTCTTAGGCTTCCATCATAAAAAACTAACTGGGGTTGACTTGTGGGGAATCTGCTCTACAAATGGGATATAAAAGGTTTCTCCTTGAGGGCTCAGTGATGTATATTGGAACCAAAGCAAAATATATCTCACTGCATTTCTGGGCTGCACCTGTGCTTTAAATTTTACTCACTAAAAGCCCTTTGAGTAAAGATTTTATACCTATAACTGCTCCATCCTCTGGCAAATCATGTCACCTGGCAGGGCTGAATAAATAACAGGTTACTCTTCTCCTAAAAAAAAAAAAAAAAATACAAGGGAAAAAAGTGCAAGATTTCAAGATATTTTCTTTTGTCATAATTATTGTCAAGAACTAAGTCTCAGCCAGCAAATAATTCAGGAATATCTAATTGTATATAATAATACTTTAACCTCTGCTGCCCAGTTCTGCTTGTAATGATATTATTTGGGTTTCATTGCTGTGGATGTGAAAACTGACCAGCAGTGAATATTTTTAATTTAGTGGAAAAGTCATAAAATGACATATGTACTGCAAACCACTGTGCAATTGGAGGGTTTCATTTGGCAAATGTTCAAGCTTAAAATGTGGTTTTCATGATTATCCCCCTTATTAAAGCTCATTTGCTATTCATGGAAAGTGAGCACAAAAGGGATGTGAGCAGTCAAAGAAACCCATTTTAAAAATTCCAGTGAATATCCAAGGGAAATGGGTTTCAGTGTTTGCCCAGCTCTGCTGGGACACTCTGCTGCTCAACCTCTTCTCACTGGGTGCCTTTGTCATCGTCCTTAAGGCTTCCATGGCAAATCCTGGGTGGTTTTGTTACAGCTGCACATTGCAGACATTATCCAAAATTCTTGATGTGGTTCAAGAGCTTTGTTGGAGTGGGGAAGGTGAGAGGTTTTTAGTTAAAAACTGATTGGTTGTGAGACTGAGCTCGAATGGGGTGGGGTCAAAGCAACTCAGGTCTTTGGCCCTTGCTGAGTGAGACATTTACCCCCAACACTATTCCCAACAGCCTCAGGACTCCAGTTATCCCTCTGTATGTAGGGAAAATACCTGGGGAAGGGAAGAGTCTGGATCATCAACCGTGTTTATTCCACACAGGCTGAGCTCCTGCAAGCTGAGCTACACCCTCCATTCTTCACTTGCTTTCATGGGAGCAGCATGTGGATTGAAGGCTCCTCTCCCTCCACTCCACTTTCATCCACAAGGTCTCACTGGAGGAAGAGTCAGGTGTCAACAACTGTCCTGTGAGTACCAAGCCATTGATCCAAAGTGCACTTTATGGCAGATTTCTGTGCCATAATCCCCTCCTGTGCTGAAGAGTTCGAGTTCTGTGAGCAGCCACATAGTTTCTAGGGGTAGATAACTGAAAAATTGTTGCATCACTCAGCCTGAGGTTCTGGAGGTGCATTTCCTCACACAAGCTGAGGTCAAAGGCTGGTGCTTTTCAGAAAGGTCTTGCTTCTCAGCCAAATTTATCACTGCTGCAATTAAAGAAGATCAAATTATTGGCCTGGGGTCTCATGGCAACTGAGTGGCTCAGCCAGGACTTGAGCCAAAGATCCATTCCCTTGGTTCATCACCCTTGACTGTCAGTAGTAGATTTAATTCTGGTTTATGAAGATGTTAGGAAGGTTTTATAAGTTTCTGAAAGAGACTAAGCAGCCATTTTAATGAGGAAATAGTCTAATGGGCTAATGAACCTTCAAACAAAACAAGATGCAAAAAATACTGTCCGAGGAAGAAATGAAACCTTGGGCCAGCAGTTTGGGCTGCACAATCAGGCAGCCTGTCACCTCTGGCTGTCCCCACGACCTCCAGAGGGAAAATCCACCCTGGATTGAGTGCGTGGCTTTGCAGGGCACAGGGAAGAAAGTGAATGCTGGGCGTGGTGCAAAGAGAATCCCTTGGTGTCAAGAGGCTGCCCCAGGTTGCCTAAGGCATTATAACTATGGATCAGGGATAAGAGCATTCCAACACTTCCTGAGGAGACAACTCTTGTGTTTAGTTCTAGAAATGAAGCTCCTTCATGTGGCAGCTGGTAAGATGTGGGACTTTCTGGGGACAGGAAGGACATGAGAATGCCAATCAAATACCAGAATGCTCATTCCATCTAGTGAGATTGCTGCCTGATTTTCTGTATTGATGTTATTTTAGATATTCTCCCACTCCTTCTCCAGTCCCAGCTCCACATTCCAATGTGGAGGGAGGGCAGAGCCCCAGTGTGAGCAGGGGCTGAATGAGCCAGTGCAGCTGCACTGGGAGAAAGTTCTGCTGGTGCCAATGAAGGCCAAAGAGCAGCCCCAGTTCTGTGGCAGAACAGTTCTGCATTCCCAGTCAGGTGCCAGGAAAACTCTCACAGACACAGCCCAGACCTTTAGAAGCAGAGGAAAAGCTGGAGAGACAGTCCCTGATTATTTCAATCTAATATTTTGGCTTAAAATTGAGTTCAGCACGTTATTTTCCAGCTTATCTCACCACCCTTTTTCTTTTTTTTCCCTTCTAGTTTGTCCCATCCCTTCAGTTTCATTTTTGGAATTTAATATCTCCCGTTGATGATTTCTCTTCCTTATCTTCCCTTGATCCATTTCTGCTTCTCTTTCAGATTCTGTCCCCTTGAGTCTCCAACTAATGTCTCCCCATGTGTCAGATTAAAAGAAAAAAGAATTTACAAGATGCTGGGCTATGAAAGGAAGTAGAGAATGTTTATGTGGTTGCAGCAGACTGACCATTAAAGTGACTTTATTTCTACATCATTTCATATGCTGGGCTTGGCAGTTTCATTTCCAAAACTATTTATACTCACAAAAGTCCATAACAGCATTTCCATTATTTCCTTATATGATTTCTTTTTTTTGCCTATATTTTATCAAGTTATCTTCTTCTATTCAGGCCTGATTTCAGACAATAGGAATACAAAGTGGAAAAATCCTTTCTAAAAGAGACTGTGCCTTTTTTTTATCTATTAAAGCATCTTCCTGTGTCCCAACACATTTTTATCTCAGTTTTCTTTTCAGCTCCTCCTGTTGATTTGATCCAATGGACTGACATGCAGGGGAGACTCAGATGAAAGTTGCACCTGAGGAGTGTTTGTGCTCATGGCTGAGGAACCTTCCTAAAGCTGCCTTCCTCATTATCCACCAAAGTCCTCCTGCTGCTCCAGGCACTAATTCCAGAGGGTGGAATCCATGCTTTCCCATGGCAAAGGCCAACTGTAACTGTTGCCTCCCACTGAAAACTAAACCATCACCACTGGACACCACAACAGGTAGGATGGATAAAAATGATCCATTTTATTTTCTTGCTTTTCTAAATATAATGTGGTCCAAGCCTTTATGTACGTGATGTTCCATTTTTTTGCTTCCTTGCAAGGAAAACAAACCAACCAAGCCACAATCTGCAGTTTTGAAAAGGAAACTACAACCAGCATTAAATATTCTTGAAGAACATGTATTAAATTCTGTACATTTATTTTGCATTTAATTCTGGCACAGTTTGCATAAAGAGGTTGTGGATTACCGTTCACTGACACATTTGTAAGAACAAGTTAAATGAACAGGTTAGGAGGTGTCAGGAATAAAATCAGTGATTCCCAAGCTTTTCAGTCTGGGAAACCACTGCCATCCCTCAGGACTTGTGCCACCAGCCCCCCTCAGTGCCAGTGGCTGTTGCAAACATCCTAAAGACAAGGCCAGTGGACAAAAGAGGCCTCTTTTTAAAGAGCTGGGTGAAGATGGGTGCTCTCCCTAACCCCCAGTGGCAGCGTCACCTCCTGCAGATGTGCACAAATCAAACTCAGCCACGCTCAGCTCGGGGCCCTCCCTGCCCTGGCAGGGCAGGAGGAGGGGAGGGAGCTGCTGCTCTTGGTGTCACATGAGAAGCCACCAGGAGCAGGGGGATTTGACAGCCACAGTTATGTACCTTAGAGCTGGTGCCAATTGTAAGTGCAAGGTGGAATGGATTGCAGGAGAGATGAGGAGCTCCCTGAACTGATTTAAGATGAGTGAAGGTGCTGTAAAAAGGACACATGCAAGGCCCAGGGGAGTCAGAGCAAGGAATCTTGTTAATGTTTATGGGCTTTTGATCAAGTCCTTAAGACAGACTCGAGATTTAAGATGTTTTGCCTTTGAAACAAAGGCTCTGGTGCAGTTACACAATTTCTATTGTCCTTTAAACTGGTGTGTGTTACTCATCACACTGATCAGAACATGCTTTACATCACTGCACTCTTCCTGGTTTGATCACTGTGATAAACTCAGGAACCTTTGGCAGCCTGGGAAGTTTGTACACTTCCTTCAGATCCTTCAGCTGGCTTGTGAAAGTGCCTTTTTAAGTTTTAAAGGACAAAATTTATGTTTGTTTTCTCCAATTAGGGATTCCCGAGGGGTAAATCTGAAACTATAGCAATGATTGTGATAAACTCAGTGACCCTTTTCAGCCTCTGAAGCTTCATTTAGCTCATAAAAGTGCTTTTAAAGTTTTAAAGGACAGAATTTATGAGGGTTTTTTTTAAATTTTTATTTCACCAATTAGAGATTATTGGGGCCTAATGGTACTCTGAAAATACAACTTCTAGTACAGCTTCATCTTTGCTTCTCTCAGAGATTTCCATCCTCTCCCTCTGTGTGGAATGTGCCTGTTGCTGCCATCTCCCTATAACAGAGGGCTACCTGTTTGGTATCCTCAGGATTTGCAGGTTTTAATTAGAATGGATTTATGTTGATTAGAGTTGATGGGATTGAAATGCCATGTAGTTATTAATTTCCTAGTTTTAATTTTGCTACTTAGTCACACGTTACCAAAAATACCTTAGAAATGTGGGGTTTTTCCCTTGTAAAGTGGCAAACCAAAGAAACAAATACACTGCAGCATTCTCTCATTTTGGGGATCAACTCCTGCTAGATCCTGACTTACCATTCTGTGAGTGCCTGTGGATGGGTGAAAATGAAAAGAATTACTTGCAGCCAAGTTTTCTTAGCTTTTCTTTGAAAACAGAAGTCAAACTTGTAGGAATTTCTGTTATGATTTGATTCCTTTTTACAGTTCCAATGGCAATGAACATAATTCCTCAAAATTTCATTGTAATTTTTATCTCTGGAGCACATGTAGGACAGACCAAGATTCTGGGCAGGAATTTTGCTGCAACAATACATTTCCTACAGACTTGAGTCCTCTCCTTAATATTCTGTGTGTCTGGAGACAGCTGTCTGAAGACAACAAGTTCAGCTTGATGATAAATTTGCTCCAGCATATTTAGAAGCACCTGTAAATAAGGTCTAAATGAATATATCCTGTGCTTGTTTCAGAATGCCAAGCACATGAACTCCTGTCTGCTTCCCTCCTCATTTTAACTCTGTTCCTGGTTTGCTAACACTTCTGGGCAGCTTTCTCCAAGGGGGAATTTCCTGAGGGAAAGCAGCCTCTGGAAGGCTCTCCTAAGGGAGAACAGCCTCTCTGGGAAGGAGCAGAACTTGGGGAACTTCAGTTTATTGGGGAAGGCAGATGGAGTGAATCAACCTTCTTTTTTTTGGTCTCTACTTGCTCTTGGCAGTTCCAGCCTTTTTGGGTTCAGGTGAAAGAGGAATTCAAAGAGGTACAAACTCAAGAGATTGGTAATAATCAAATACTGAACTCAACCACGAGCACAACTGGTAATGTTCAACCTGTAAATGCCTGTGAGCTGGTGGGAAGTTGGGAATTGGTCAAAATCCTCCCATAGCCTGGATTTTACCTCAGGCAGGACAAGGAGGAATGTCCTGGGGACAAGCAGGGGCCTGGTGGGTAAATTATCCTTTAGCTCTCAAAAGCAGAAGGTTTTGATTCAGTTGCAGTGGGGGTTTTCTTGACAGGAAAAATGGTTGTTTTGCAGCTTTCCATAAAAGAGTTTTCACAAGACAGCCAAGGTGCTGTTGACCTGTGTGACACTGCTGTTAATTATGCATTGTGAATGCTGCTGTTCAGAGGGGTTTTCTCCTGGTGAGGGGTCTCTTCGCTCCTCAGTTCATATTGACAACTCTCATTAACATTAATAAGAATTTAGGTGTTGTGGAGGTTGGTCAACAATTCTGACATGGGATAAAGTGAAATCTGAGGGCAGGAGTTGCCTTTAAATGAGAGTAAATTCTTGCAATCATTATTGGGAGGGATCAGGGAGTTCAAACAAAACCTGTTCAGAACTGTCTCTACTTCAGGCTGTATTTCCTACCCTGCCTCCAACTGATATGTTTGTATTGGGTTTGGACACTTTGTTTGGGAGAAGAGAGTCGTGCATAAATGAGGCCAAGGCTATTATTCAGTGTTATTAATGAGGTTGTCTACTCTTAGTTTCTCAAAAACCAGAAAACTAATAAATTTTACATATTGGAAAAAAAAAATCACAGATAAATCAAACAAACATATAAATTCTTTAAAGTATTTAATATGTGTTAAGAGGACAGAATGATGAATTCAATATTGAAAACCAATATCAAGTTTACAATTATGGCCCATTTATCATCACTGATTGCACAGACAGTGTATTATTGCAGGGAACAGAATGATTCATAAACTAAAACCCTGATTGGTTTTCTAAAAAAAAAAACCACAAGTTAAAATTCATGTTATGTCTGAAAAGCTTTGTTTTTCTTTTTCAAGCATTATTTTCAATAGTAATTGCTCATTCAGACACAAATGATGCATATTTAATTTCTTGAGCTTTAGTATTAACAGAATAATAATTTCAGAGGGTCGATAACTGATGCTTTCACAAACAGTAACATGACTCAGTTTGCTGATGTTTTTGAGGCCCAATCACCCCTTGGAGCAAACAGAACACGTGGAAAGTGAGAAAGTGGAGAGGAGTAGTTTGGAATTGGACATGGAGAAAGAAAGGGAAGCAGTAAAATGCTCTTGAAAGGTGAATGGACTTTGCAAACACGTCCAAGGGGCTGTTCTGCACTCAGCAGTTCTGCCAGGGTAAAACTGTGCCTCCCCAAAAGCCACAGCTCCCAGTGACTCCAGTGCTGCCCAGCTCACTGGCTGCTCTGAAGGACATTCCTGCTCACCTTCCTGAAAGGCTGCACTTGCTTAAACTGCTGTCACCTCAGCCGAGCTCTGGGAGAGGGAAATGAATTCTTCTCTGGCTCACACTTTATCAGCAGAATTATTAAGCAGTTTTCTGTGCAGAGTCACTCTTGTAATACACTCTTGCTTGCCCTTTTTTTCTTTTTTTTTCTCCAATCCTTTCCTCATTTCCATGTTGGTGCTCAGGTTTCCTGGGGATAACCAGTTATCATTTCACCAAACTCAGGCTGTGCACTCAGAACTGAGAGCTATTTTGTCCTTCAGAATTTCAACAGCTCCTTCTGATTTATGAAAGAATCTGGCTAAAGCTTAAAGATTCAGCTGGAGTTTCCAGAGTTATAACTCTAGGCTACACTCATTGAGTCAACAAAAATAAGAGAGAAAGGAAAAAAAAAAAAAAAAGCCAAAGTGTCTTTTTATATCTTTATTTGTAAACTGCCCATTTTAAAAACAGAAGCACTGGACTAGAACCAGCTTGCTGCAATCTAGTGCTGTTTGTACTGAATGTCTTCTTAGAAGGGGGTTGCATTTAAATTGAGGCCAATAATAAATGAATATTCCAGCAGTCACATCCACAGCCAGATTCATTGGCATTTACTACCCTCTGCTGCCCTGCAAGTAGACAACCATGTTGGAGAGAATTCCAGAACTTTCCAAGTGAAATAAATGAGCTGGATGGGATTTTAGAAGGGAAGGAAGAACAAGGCTGAATGCTTTGTGTCAAACATCTGCAAACAGCCATGCAAGGTGTAATATCTTGGTTTTCATCGATGCCCAGGGCACTCAGAGTTTGCCAGGCCTCTTTGGAAAGTTTTAAAGAGAACTCTGAAAGAGAAAGGAAAGAAAAACTGAAAAAAATTATAGCAGCAGGCTGGCCTGATTAATTTTAAGCATTTTGTACATTTCAGAGAGCATCTTTGTATTTAAAAACTAAAATCAGGGATGCTAAGTAGTTCCTCAACTGGAAACTGGTGACAAAACTGAGTTATAAACAATGCCATCAGGACAGAGCAACTGGTGGGTTTAATATTCTTATACAAACAACAAAACCTAATTATCTTTATTTATTCAACAAATCGAATTAAAATTTGATCTATTAAATTGTATTAAATATTGAAAATAATTTAATAAATAAACACGATTGCTAATTTATTATTGATACTCATCACTGGGATGTTTGTAAAAAATAATTAAAAGCAGGCTGGGAAAGAGGGGGATGAGTTCAGTTGAGGCACCAGAACTGCTGCAGAACCTGCTCAGCTGTCGTGGGTAATGAAGAGGAATGGCTGGTGGAGCTGGGGAGGGAGCAGAGCTGGGCTTGGAGCAGGAGGTGGGAGAGCAGGAACCGCTCCAGCACACACTGATTCCCCACTGCCCCGTGGGGAGGCTGCAACCAGCCCGGCCAGGGCAGCTCGGGAACCCGCAGGGGAGGCACTGTGCGAGGGCAGCAGATTTTTGGGAGGTTGCAGGCAGTCCCCTATGGAAGCTTTGTACCAGCGCTGGCCCAAACTATCTCCATCCTGAAACGCTGCCACCACCTGCAGTCATGTCCTGGCAGGGCACCAAGAGACACACGGTGCAGGACAAAGGGTTTTGGCAGCCTCCCACGGCCATAAAAGATCGTACAATGTGGGGATTCATCGCGTGGCTACGGGGACAAAAAAAGTTCTGTGAACCATTCTGGTGTATTATCAAAAAGGGGCTTGGTCTCGTGTTTCTTACAGATATTCTTGAGGTGATAAAAAAAGCAGGAACCTAGCCAACGTTATTATTCTAATTAGAAAATAATCACTAATAGTACATAGCACAAGTAGAGCATTTCATCTGGAACAGCCCGAGCAAGCTCGAGGTTCCTGGCTAAGCGCTAAGTGAGTGCAGCTGTTCAGATCACCTGTCATGAGCCTTTTGGTCTAATGATCTAAATCATTACACGTTTGTAACTTCTGCTACGTCTTTCAGGAAGAAAACGACACCCACGGGGTGCAATTCCCTCCCTGGCTGATGCCGCTCTGAGCACCCAGAGCCACCCGAAGGCAGCAGTGGTGCGGTCGCTGTGACAGCGCAAGGGCAGAAGCTCTGGACGGTAGAGGATGCTAGAGAAGAGGTAAATTCTCCGCGGCGCCTTTCCCTCACATATCCGTACCTCGCCTGGTATCAGCTCTGAGCAGCTTCTCCCCATCCCGGCGCTGGTTTAAGCACCGAGAGCTGCGTGTGCTCCCCTGGGTGTGCAAACCGAGGCACCCCGAAACGGCTCCAGAAGTTTGCGTGATCTCCGGCTGGAACCTGAGAGGTCTCTGCTCTGGAGATCCCGGTTTTCCAGCCGCAGGAGGCAGGGAGCCGTGCCTTCCCCCCCATCTCCTACCTCTGCTGAGCCGCCAAGTATTCCTCCCTCAGCTATAGTTTGCGTCCTCATCCCCCCGTGCGCTGCTCGGGATGCCGGTCTGAGTCTTTGTCCTTCTAGTCTATTTAAGGCATTTTAATGGAATCGGGCGGAGAAAAAACCCAAACACATACGCAACGCCCGAGGCATCAGGACTAGACCCGATCCCCCCTCCCCCTTCCCTCAAACAACAAATGGTTAAATAAATAACGAGATGCCAAACCAACCATCACCAAACGAATAAGCCAAAAATCAGCGTCAGCGCCGCAGCAAACGGCAAAGTTTCTGCGCTCTGAAGCTGGAACCGCGCGGCAAAGCAGGAATCCAGGGGGAGGGAGCGGAGCCTGCGGGAGAAGGGATGCACTGGTGTGTTCCCAGCCCCGCATCCCGGAGCGCCAGCCCGAGCCTCGCCGCTGAGAGACGAGAACAGCCCCGAGCCGCCACCCCCGTCTCCTCCCTCCCTCCCTCCTCCTTCCCCCTCCCCCGGGTCCTGCGGGGAGGCGGGTTTAAGGTGGGTGCTGTGGCCGCGGTAACTTTCCTAACAGAGCCAAAGAGCCGCCCGGAGTCCCCCGCAGCAGCATCGCCCGCCCGTGCTGGGCAGCGGCCCCGGCTCGGCCGTGGCTGCCCGGGCCGCCTCCCGCCGCCTCCTCCCGCGGCCCCGGCCCCGCATCCCGAGGTAGGTGCGAGTCGGGACAGGTCCTGGGCGCTGCCGGGGACGCGGCACCGGAGCCCCCCACCCCTGTTTGTTCCCGGGGTTGATGCTGCGGGCAAGGAGCCCCCCCTGCACCCTCTAGCTGCCAGGGGAGAAGCCCCCTGCCCTCCTCCTCCTCCTGGAACTGCCCGGGCATCTAGGACGAGCCCGTGGGAGGAATCTCTTCCCAGCCACCCGCTCCTGCCCCTTCCCTCGATCTTTGGGTGCTCGCCGGTGATTTTGGGAGTGCTGAGCTGGGAGATGTGTGCGTGGGTGAGATCGTACGCCTCGATTAGGACTCTCCCCTATCAGCCGCTTCCTTCCCCCCGCGCGTGGTTTACTGGGCTGTTGTATCGGCACGAACTTTCTTGTGGTGGCAGCAGCCGGATTTGGTCCCCGCGTGTCCCCGTCCTCGGGCTGCTGCGCTGCGCGGGGGAGCGGGCTCGGGCTGGCGCCTGCTGCTCGCATTGGAGCGGCTTTCCTGGTCTGGGCTTAACTGGGCTCCTGCCGAGAGGGTGTTTGGGGTAGGGAGATGAGCAGGGAGAAGTTGTAGGATGCGGAGTGTAAGTGACACCTCCGTTTCTCGAGGTTGGGGAGTGGGTGGAATCTCACTCTGGCTGGTGCTACTCGCAGCTGCCAAACATTCCCTTCTTTTGCTTAGGCAGGACTCTGGCCACGCTGCCAGATGGCTCCTAACAAAGCGAAGTTACGGAGCGTCGGGATATCGGTTCCCAAAATCAGTGCTCAGCTGAGATCCGCAGGTGACAGCACACGGTTTGATGCCTGTGCTCGCGTGATGCCTGTTCTTCAGCTGCAAGCACAGGGTATCTGCTTGGCCCGGGAGGTGGGCAGAGGATCAATAGTTTGAGAAACCAAGGCAGCCATCGCTCAGAGTTGTTTAAATCTGCAGCCCCTGTGATCGCTAAACACCAGGGCTGGCCGCTGTCCTCCCCACCAGCTGGAAGAAAGTCCAGAGTTAACTAAAAGGAAGTCTACGTGTCCGTGTCTTTATTACCTGCTGATTTAGAACATGACAAAAATTAATTCGAATGTAGCTGCCCGTGTGCCTTCCCCGACCTGTTAGATAGGGGAGATCCCACCCCCCAACATGCTCAGTCCTCTATTTTGGTAACAGAAGTCTCCAGTCAGCTGACTGGACCTTATGTCTCTTAAATTCACATTATGGGACTGAGTGAGTGAAGGTTTTTCTGGGATATCCGATCTCAGTCCGAATCCTTTCCCATGCTTGGGCTTCTCTTAGAGCTCAGCCAGAGCTTTGCTGTCCCTCTCTGCTGGGACCTGCCTTCCATGTTCACTTTGTTAGTAAATCCCACAAGTTTTCCTTCTCAGAGTAGTGAATTGTTTCAGGGATACTGCCTTGGTGACAGTGCTGTTAAGTAAAGGTGAATAAAGCACCAGCCTCATCCTAGGACTGGATTTTCTGTGCTCCTTACAGACCGAGGAGCTGGTCTTGCAGAAGCTCGTGAACAAGTTGACGTTCACGGGACCTGCTCTGGAGTCTGTTGAAGTTGGTGTGGGACACCTGAAGGGGCTCTGCATTAGTTAATTAATGCTCATAAGCACCCGTGCTCAAGCACAATGATAATTTGCAAGATTAGTTTCAAGGCGAGTGCCCGGGTTCTGATTTGCCAGCAAAACCTCCGGAGGCTTCCTCGATGTTCAGACTGTTGAACTTAGTTTTCTTTCTGCTCCTTGCTGATACCTGAGTAAATTTGTTATGGAATTGTAAAAGGTTTATGGTGAAAGGGTTTCAACGCATCAAACGTTGAAAATGGTCATGTGGTCAATATCTTTTTCAAAATAAGATTTCGGTGTTGTCTTTCTCTCCAGTCAGCTGCTTTATAAAATTTTGTCATTTTAGTTAAAAAAACCAAAATGGGTTGAGGTTAAATATACAGTATTAGGCCGCATTTTGTTGCTCCCACTTTTTACTTATGAGAAAGAACTAATTTGATCTGTTGTTTTTTATAATTAACTCTAAATTAATACTCAGAAGTATCAAACAGAAGCCCGTGCTCTCTGGTAGCAAGTCCCATATTTCCTGTGAATGGGCCACTCAGCCATTTTCACTTTGAACTATCCATCCTGCTTTAAACACCAGGCAGCAGAATTAATATTTAAGCAAATGCATACAGCAAAACTATAAATCTCTGAAAACAGTTAATTATATTGGAACTGGGAATGTACCTTCGAGTACAGCCTTGTATAAACCATTTCCCTGTAGCCTGATCACAATTCCTGCAAACCTTTTATCCTCCTGTGTGAAATCATTTCTAATTCCGTGTTCCTGCAAAGCATGTGCTTGCTTATTGTTTTCCAAACCATGTGGTTTGAGCTACTATTTAAATATAATATTTATGATATTACTTTGGCTGCTCAGCTCAAAAAGAGAAGTGCTGCACACCACTGCATATTAAAAAGCTTCTACATAATTACCACTTTTTGCAGCACTGCTGTGCAAATCTCTGGGTCGGGAATTCAAATGGAGACTTTCTACAGTTCACAGTTATTTTATATAAAAGCTGTAAGTCTTTCTTCTTGAAGCGTGGGGGCTGCAGCCTTTGGGGAGTGTGAGTGTGGTGCCTGCACTGGGTTTTATATTTTTATTATTGCAACATGCGTGCTTGCCACTGGCCTCTGTGTGCTCCCAGGTGCATGGAGAGCGTGGTGGGTTCCCACAAACTGTCCATCTGTCGCACCACTTTGGGTTGGAATCACCTGTTTATACTTTTTTTGCCGTGTTGTCGTTTTATGCAAATATGTCCCTTCTGGTTGTGTCACTGGGAGGCCTGGGAGGCACTTCCACTGCCCTTCTCTCCCTTGCCTGTCCATGCAAGGAAAATGTGGCACTGCAAGAGCCAGAACCCAGTGCCAGTTCCAAGCCAAGGTCACTGGGAATTTCTCCAGGGATGGTGATGGACTTTGGGCCCCACTAAGCATTCTAAAGGTGATTTAGACCATGTAGAAAGATGGTTTGGACCATTTAGATGGTAGGGGTAGGATTCAGCTCTCCCATTCTCCTTGTGTTGTCCAGGGTGTCCTGCCTGCTCCCTGGTTGCTGCTCCAGCAGCTGTGACACATCCATTGGACCTGGTGCCCAGTGAGGTGTCCTGGTTTTCCTCATGTGTCTCAAACAGCCTTGGCATCCCTGTTCAGGCAACTGAGCCTTCCCTGCCTATCTCCCATATCACGAAAAATGGCTAATACATAAAACCTGGGATCAAGGCAGTAGTTACAATTCCCATTGTGAACCCCAGAAAGGGTTGTTCAGATGTTAATGGAAAAGCTGGATAAAATTCAGGCTCATTGTTGTGTTCTGCACAGACTGACCGAGCTGCCCCAGCGACTGGTGCTTCCCTTTGCACAAGCTGATTGAAACCTCAGTGGGGAACTTCTGTGTGTTAGGGAGAGGCAGATGAGAAAGCTTGTAGAAAATTAAGAGCTGCTCTCAAAGGAAACAAATCCCAGTAGAATCAGCTTTAGATTGCCAGGTGAGTTCAGCCATGTGACACTTGTGTGTGAGGTAAATCGGTGTGTTCGTGTGGAGAGGAGGAATTGTGGTGAAGAGTTTGCAGAGTGTGACTCTTACCTTGTAAATTAATATAGACCATGTACCAAATTTATGAAGAGACAATATTGCACAGCCTTGTGAAGATCAGACTCAGCACTTGTAAGGGAGAATCTAAGTCAAGATGTCCAAAGACAAGTGCAGAATTCTCCTGGATAAGTGTGTTTACAAACACTTGGATGTGACCAGTGGTGCTCAGCGAGAGAAACAAGATTTTCTCTTGTCTGGCTGCTGCTCTAAAGGGAAAGTACTGAAATCTGTAGGAAAGTTTCTTCCTCAGAGAGGCAGGTGAAGGTCAGCACTTGGGCTGCCTGCAGAGGTGCAGCAGGAAGGGAGAGCACACTCAGCTCTCAGCAGATTGCAAACAGGAGCACAACTGCAGGGCTCCCTTCTCCCTTTGCCAGGAGAACTGGGGGAATTTCTCCTAGTCCCAGCCTGAGTGCA